CACAGCTTCTGGAGGCAGGTTGTTCCACTGGTTAATTGTTCTAACTGTCAGGAAGTTTCTCCTTAGTTCTAGGTTGCTTCTCTCCTTGATTAGTTTCCATCCGTTGCTTCTTGTCCTGCCTTCAGGCGCTTTGGAAAATAGCTTGACTCCCTCTTCTTTGTGGCAGCCCCTGAGATATTGGAACACTGCTATCATGTCCTCCCTCGTCCTTCTCTTCATTAAACTAGACATACCCATGCACTATATTTTCATAATTCTTATTTAAGCTTAATTTCCCCTTAATATTTAAACCATTTTTATCAGTAATAATTTTCTTAATATTAATTATCTAAATATCCAAGCTTTCCATTTACATACACCATCCCAATATTTTCATATTTCATGTGTTATAAGGATACTATACTACTTATCTTATAACATCTACATATAATATCTTTTTTGATCGGCTTATATTTCACTTATATTTGTAATAGTTATTTTGTTAAGGAACTACGGTATATATCCTGTTTTCAAAAATTCTTGTTTAAGCTTAATTTCCCCTCAATATTTCGGTCATTCCAAGTTCTCTTCAAATTAATTACCTTTAAATTTCAAACTTTTCATTTACATATATCATCCCAATATTTTTAAATTTCATATATTGTAGAAGATACCATACTACTTATATCTCTTATCCCTCTTACTATAGAGCCCCTTTATATCTAATTTTTTTTGTTCTTTTAACCATATTCAAAAGGTGTTTGCTCATGTAATATTCCATCTGGTAAGGCGAGTCAAATCTTTTGAATCTAATTCTGGCTTTCTTTTTTGCCAAGTAGTTTTCCAAGTTAATATATTTCGTTTGCCAGGAAGTTCCTGTATTTTTGTGGGTATTATTGGGAGTGAGAAAGACAAATTGCGTAGGGTATGTGCTTTTTGTCTCCCAAACTCTAATGATTCTCCTGGCAGTTCTATAGTCCATTTTATTAAATTTTCTTTCTTGTCCTTGGGTTTGTTTTGATGTCCTGACAAATAAAGTATTTTTTCCATTTTTATTGTTATTGCAAAATCTTGTAGATTTTTTCCTGTTTGTGTTAAGTTGTAATTCTCTTTAAGTCATTTTCTTCAAGTTTATCTTCTATTATCTGATTTTTTGTTCATTCTTTATCATCATTTTCTGAGAGTTTTTTTATTGTAAGTTTAGATTGGAGATATGCTCATTTATGTCGTTTCCTGTCATTTTTTTGATAAGTATACAATATCCATATTATCTCCCCCTTCAAATACTCTTTCATCAGTGCCATAGTCTCTATGATTAGCCTTGTCAAACCAGCCAATCTCAGAATCCAATGTGTTTCCAATTGTCAAGGTATCAGTGAAACCAGTATTTTATCACAGTTCTTCTATTTAGGGGTCAGTTATCAACCACTCAGAACTGCAATCCAGTATACTTAGCCACCTTGAGTCCTTCCTGTAAATTCCCCGAGAGATTAGCCAAGCGTCAAAGTTTTTCTTTTTCTGTAAACAATTCTTGGGCTTAAGCAGCAGTCAGAGTCTTTCTTTTTCTGCAAACACTTTTTAATCTTATGGTTGGCTCACTATGTTTTCTTTCTTTGTTCCCAGCTGTCTTCTTGAGAGTTATTAAAGTTCAAGGGAACAAATTATTCTTTGTTTCTGGGCATCTTGCCAATTTCTGAATCAGTCTTGTTGATGTTCTATACTCTAATTCTCCACTAGATGTCAGTAGTTGTTTGTTTTCTAGCCTTTTCAAACAAAAAGTTCTTTTATATATATATAATTTCATCAGAACCCTTTAAGGTGTAAAATCTTAAAACTTTTCTTAGTTTCTAGATTTATCCAGACTGTAGTATTATAGATTTCATTTCAATATATTTCTTTCCACTTTAAAAGTTAATTCGCCGCTTCTGTCTATGGAGGAATAGGGGTGTGGTCCCCTCCCTTCACTTTCAGAGGATTTCTTACTTTGGGGATCTTTCCCAAGGAATCAGTTACAAAATAAAAGAGAGAAGATGGATACTCTCACCAATGCCAAGCACACTGTTCACCGTTGTTCTAGTTCATGCTCTTGGACTTCGGCTGCAAGTAGCTTGGGCTAGACACTGGTGTGAAGCTAGCCTTTCTTCTGTCGGGTTAGAGGGCTTCCCCCGGATCAAATGGATCGATCGGTATCATTCCGTGTTCATCGGAGCACCCCTCTTTCTTCATCACCTATCTGGGGCAACTTTTGACCCATTTAGAGTCACCTGGCAGGGTGAAACTAGCTGTGGGGTGCAGAGCTCCTCAATCCCGCAGCCGGGCACTATGGTGCAAAACCAGAAGTCCTGTGTTGGGTTGTTGTTTTTTTAGCAGCGCAGCACACTGCTGACTCATACTTAAGTGGTGATTCACCAGACACCTAGATCTCTCTCACAGGCACTACTGATGATGAGGATACTGCCTGGATTGCATCTGTGGATCTGGTTTTTCCTACCTAAGTGCAAGATCTTACTGAATTGCATCTTGTTGGAAGGGTCCAAAGCTCAAGCCTATCAAGATCCTTCTGAATCTTGAATCTATCTTCTGAAGTGTTAGCAATCATCTAAGTAGTGTGGTGACTCAGTGGCTTAATGATGCTGTAGATGGTCTTTGCTCCAGCAATTCGAGCCCTAGCACTGCGTGGCGGGATGAGCTCCCGTCACTTGCCTCAGCTTTGTCCACCTAGCAGTTCAAAAGCATGTTCCATGTAAGTAGATAAATAGGTACCACTTCAATGGGGAGACAAGCTGATGCTTCATGAAGGCAGATAGATTCTTGCAAACTCTGAATCTTCTTGGTTGTGATGCCCATTTGTGAGGCAGCTCTAGGGGAGGGAGGGGATAGATGACACTGCAGGAAGAGCTGCTCATCTTTCTTTCTACTGCGAAGCTAGCTTGCCCTCCTGTGGTATACCTTGGGAAGCATGTGAGCATGTACCACGACAGAGCTAGTAAATTGGCAGGCAAATTTACTACTCTGAGTAGCCAAATACTATTCTGCATTAGTATTTTAGTCTCCTGGCTAATATAACAGTACTATTCACTCATCATCATTCAAATAGTCAGCAAATTTTACTCTCCCTCATCCCTTAGTCTGATCATGAAACATCTGCTGGAAGAGAAGCAAACTCAGAAAACATTAAACATCCCTTTTATTGCATCACTATATGATTTGTCTTTGCTATATTGTGCAGTTTTTCTGGAACAAAAATGATGTGCATTTTTTTCAGCTCCTAAAAATAATGTTTCATTAATGCCAAACTTAGAAATGGCCACTTGATCCTACTATCATTCCAACTGTAAACCAGCAAAATGATCAAAGCTGGTGAGCTGGTATGCCTCAAGACATCAAGTAATAGAATCATAAAATTCAGCTGTAAGATATTCTAAGTATATTAGGCCAATACTTTAAGGTCTTCCCCCACTTAATCAGGACATGACATGACTTGATATCATTTATTTAGTCTCCAGACCAGTTGAAATTTTTAAGTCATCCTTAGTTGGAGCCAGTGTTAAATAGTATACAGTAACACTGATGGTGTTACTTAGTTTGGGTGATGAAATGTCTGCAAGAAAACAACCAGGCTCAGAGAGCACCATAGATATTTTCACAGTTTGTCATGGATGGGCCTCCAGCCCATATGTAGGAGCGGCTGGATTTTTTAAATTTGCCCAAGAAGGATCCAATTGGATCCAAATGGATTTCAAGAGATCTCCAAAGAGCTTGTGTCTGGTCCCACTGACAATTCTGTCTTTGTCTTGGGTGGGATATGGAATAGGGAACATACTAAGGCAATTGGCACAACTGCACCTAAATGCTCTTTCCAATATACTTCAAAAATAGAGCTTTTGTGTTTGTGCATGTATGTATACATATACATATGTACATACACATGGAAGAACAGGAGCTGAAGTGGCATACAGAGTGCAGTGGAAATTGACTCAACATAAATCTGAGCCACTACAATATCAGTGTGCATTATGTTGAGGCAAAACATGCAAGATTGTTTTGCACAAATTGCCTCTGCAGGCTCATGGGCTGATGAATTATTTCAGGTGTGAGAGAGCTGATTTTACCTCTACCATCTCCTCCTTTAATTAGATCACAGAACCTTCAGCTATTTGCTTTTAATGAGAGGTTTTTTTTCTGGATAGTATCTCTTGTAGCCTGGCCAGTCTGGTAGCAAATTTAATTATGGAAATATCTGCTAATTCCTTTTGGACAGAAACAAAATGAGAGTATACCAGAAAAACTAAACACCCTATTGGACATAGTACACTCCAGTACTAGTTTTCTTTGTCTTGGCTCAACATTTAACCAAAAAGTTAAGACACATCTCCCCCTCCCCCCCCAATACTGCTCTACTTTATGGGTGTACTACAGGTAATCCTTAAATTATGACAATTCAGACCAGGATTGCCATCATAAATCACTATGGCTGTAAAGTGAAACATCACATGACTGCACTGATTTATGACAGCAATCCTGGCACACCCCATTGTAGTTGTTTACCAAGAATCATGGGTCATCAGGCAAGAACTCACCACATTCTGGGTTTGATCTTTTCCAGCACAGAGCCTCAGGTAAAGGACTGCCTCCAACTCCCCCCAACTGCCTATCTCCCCCCATCTCTATTCTGCACCATGCCTTGCTGGATGGCAAGCAGCCCCCAGGGCCACATGGATCTGAGACCACTTGCCATACTCAGGGCATTCTAGCCCACCCCAGCAAGTGCCAGCAAGCATTCATTCACCCAGCTGCTTTGACTCCCAGTTCCCCACACTGACCTTTCAGCTTTTGTCCTCAGCCACTGCTTTACTCCTTTTTGGACTCAGCTTCTCTGGTGAACATTTCCTACCTGTGGCTCCCTCAGCCTTCAGAAAGCCGCTTTGCCTTTGTAAAGCTGTGCTATCTTTCCAAAGGCTTTCTGAAGACAGCACAACTGTTTGAACAGCCATAATAGGCCACAAGTCTATTTTTTCAGCACTGTCAAAACTTTGAATGGATGCTGAACAAATGGTCGTAAGTCAAAGATTCCTTATTTTGGCAACATAGGGTTTTTTGTTTTTTTGGGGGGCAACAATGGTTTTTGCGTGCCTTTTTACAGGATGGTATTTTTTTCTAACTTCCTGGAATAGTCTATGGTGGGATTTCATGATGGCATCCTATCTAAATACTAAACAGATCTGTTTGCTAGATGTTGCCACCTGCTGTGGCAGAAATTCCTCAGTTATAACATTACAAATACTTCTAGATCAGGCTTAGACATGAATACTGTAACCCACTCTTTATAATCTTGTCTATGCCTCTAATTCAGAAACTTCCAGTTTGTATGCAACTTTCAGCTCTACATGGTTGAACAGATCAGGAAACTGACTCCACGGGAAGATTAAATGTTACACTTTATGGAGATAGGCTGTAGTAACAAAATCTTGCAAGTCTGCCTATATTTTTCCTCCCTTCCTCCTTATATTCCAGTAAATGAGGAAAGAATAAGTGTTAGGTTTTTTTTTAAATAATCTTCTCAACCTTCCACGTTTATTGCCCTTTGTTGCAACCAATAGTTGCATACTTGCATAGTTGAATAGTTCTTAGAATGGCATCTTTTGTTTAACTTTGGTTTTATGCTGTATTGTAAATCACAGTTTGGTGTAGTGGTTAAGAAGTTAGGCTAGAAACTGGGAGACTGTGACTTCTAGTCCCACTTTAGGCACAAAGCCAGCTGAGTAATCTTGAGCCAGTCACTTTCTCTCAGTGAGGAAGGAGGCAATGGCAAACCAATTCTGGAAGAAAAAACGTTGCCAAGAAAATTGGTCAAGACAGTCTTGAAGAATCAGACATGATTGAATGGAAGAAAAAAAATATCAGAGGGATATTTTACTAATTAGTAGCATGCATAATGAAATATTCAACTAAAATACCGGTAGTACCATTGCTAGATTGGCACACAATTACCCTAACAATCACAAGAGAACAGGAAATAGGTGCAAAGAGTGACTTTTCCTTTTCATCTCTGCCATTCCTGCTCTTCCAGAGTTATTTGGAAGTATTCCTGAATTAATGCCCCTTATATGGTAGTATTGGCTTATTATGAACTTTGAAGTTATATTATTCTGTTCATGCTAACTGGGAATTCTTGGCCCTGCAGTCTCAGTACAATTAGAAGGTGCCAGTTAGGGAAGATTAGTTTGCTTTGGAACACTTCATTTATTTGTTTGTTTTTAATTAATCTCCCACATTTATTATTTTAATAAATAATTCAAGTTGGTGAATAGACTCAATACTCTTTCCTCCTCCTATTTTTTGCACAACTACCCTGTCAGGTGGATTGGGCTAAGAGAGAGTGATTTAGTCATGAGAGAAACTCTCATGCCTAAGGTGGGACTGGAACTCAGACGTTTCTAGACTGGTGCCTTAACCACTAGACCAAATTGGTCTACTTTCCTGAACACTGAAATATATACACAAACAATGGTGGTTTGCCTTGCTCTGTTTTCTGCCTTCCCCTTAGGGCCAAGAATTCCCAGCTAGCATGACTAAAGTAATACAACTTCAAGGTTCATAATAAGCCAATATTACTGTATAAGGAGTATTGATTTACATTAATATTAATTTTCCTTTATTTCTATAATAATTTCTATTTCTTTTATTTCTCTTTTTCCCTTACCTGGACTATGACTCTCGCCCTACTCCAATTTGCCTCTGATCACAGTGATGCCCACAGATCTTGGACTTCCCCTAGCAGCACCATTAAATTTTAGTGGTACAATTCTGAAAAGTCATGGTGTAGTTCTCTGACATTTTGAGATGGGAAATTCATTAAAAGTACAATGCAAGCCATAGATGAGGTTTAATTTAAGGAAGAAAATCAAAGACAGAGGAAACCCAAATGGGGCACAGGTCCAAATATGTGAGCCTACTCCCAAACTATACAATCCATTGTGACTTCTGCCCTCCCCAAAATTGTAAGCCTTGCTCCCATTCCTCTAAGGATGTCCATTCCCTGCACCAGCTCTTCTAACTCCACAGTTGTATAGAAACAGAAAACTGCTATTCATTCCGTGGTGGAGAAAGAGAGGATTCCACTCAATTGGGAGTGAAGTCCCTAAGAACAGCCCCTCCCCGCAAATCTTATCTGCAAAGTCTCCTGCTGAGTTGTTTGTTGATTGAAATTCTGCTGAAATACTAGGGTGCAATTTGTCCCATCATAGAATAATGTGCAGACCTTTGCTGGGGTTTATCATTCCTAATTCAAAAAATGCAATGAGCAATGGTAACTGACCTTCAGTGTTGCTGGAAGTGAACATCTTTGCTCATCCAAACGACTTCTCTAGACAGACAGATAAGGAGACAAGGAAGGCCGGAAGAGAGGGAGGGAGGAAGAAGGAAAGAAGAAATCAATCAATCTCTGGTTTATTTTTTCCTCTCCCTCAGAGGGGGAAGGTTGTTGAAAGTCCATTTGGCCTTCGAATAACATGGTGAGGGCAATACTCCAAAAATTCTGGGGCAAGGATAATAATTCATCAGAGTAGTAATTCAATGAAACTAAATATTCTCCTAATTCACCTTCCCCATCCACTTTCTTCTGAGAGCATCAAATGGAAAGATAAATTTCATTTATCAAATTACCAAAAGCTTACTCTAGGTAGCACATCTACATGTGTTAGAGTGAGACTTTATGTGATATCTACCACACAATTTGCCCTGGAAAGCAAGTTGGGTTTTTTTATAATTCATTCCACAAATTTGAATTGAGCTTATCAGTGACGTAGAGTGATTTTAATTTAAATTCCAGTACATAAGAAACACAGATGTGCAAGAGAGGAGCCCAAAAAAACATTTCATCCAACATATTTCCCTCATGTAGGTATCCCTGCATATTTGGCCTCCTGCAGCCAGACAATTACCAGGCCAAAATGAAAACAGGGAGAGCACAGCTCTTGGAGTTACAGGCTTCCAGAAGTACAGCAGAAAGAAAGCATCCATTTCTAAGAAACAATCACAGCAGAGAGGTAAAAACATTTTCGTAAATTACAAGGAGAATCTCACAGGAGCCAGATGAACCAACAGAAACATCACGCAGGAAGAGGAAGGGTGAAATAGAAGGGCAACAAAGTAAGAAGCCAGATGTGTGGAGTGGATTAACAGCTTACACAACTATAGACAGGGTAGAGACCTTTGAAGTAATTATTGCATTTGGGTTATGGTAAAGTTCAAGTGCCAAAACAATTCCATAACAGAAGCAGCTTATTATCAGAAGTTCAAAATTTGATCATGAAACTAGAAAAACATACCTGCATTTTTTCAATCATTTCAAATAAGTCGACTACCTGTATGGAATCACATAAAATAAGAAATCAATTTGCAGACCCCCAACTTTAGATCATAATTACTGTTTCATTAGATTGTGTCTTCAGTATTGCAGAGTTTATGAAAACACAAAATACAGAGTGCTTCCTGATAGCTGCTGTCTCAGAAGAGAAAAAAGCATATTGTGTAAGCCAGGGGTAGTCAACCTTGGCTCTTTTATGACTCGTGGACTTCAATTCCCAGAATTCCTGAGCCAGCTTAGCTGGCTCAGGAATTCTGGGAGTTGAAGTCCACGAGTCATAAAAGAGCCAAGGTTGACTACCCCTGGTATAAGCTCTAATTATCTGGAAACCAGGCCATTTTGGAAAAGTGTCATGTCTTACACTTTTTAGTGAGCTGCTCATCACTACTTATTCCTTACTCAGATACTTCTTTTTATCTAAAAAGAACCAAATATTTTGCCATTTAAAGGACAACCTTTAAATTTTAAACCTTAAAAAACCATAATTGGAAGAGACCCTGGAAAGTCCAAGTATCTACTAAAAGCAGGACAGCACTATAGCACTCCCAACATATTGTATCAATCTATCAATCATATCTCTCTCACTTTCACTCACTCACTCATCTAATTTAGATACCACCCGTCTCACTCTCAGAGTGACTCCAGGTGGTGTGCATAAGGCTGCCCAGGTCTGCTTAAACACTTTAAGGGGCATAATCTATCCTATTTAAGGCAGTCTGTTACCATTAAAAGTTCTTCTAAATTTTAGCCAAAAATTTACCTCTGGCTGATTCCATATCTTTCTCATCAAGACAAAAGAAACTAATCTACTGCATATTCAACATGAAAATCTTTCAAACTGTCAAATACAACTGATATATTTCTCATCAATATATTCCTGGCTTCCATCTCTTAAATGACTGGTCCCAAATTGAAGACTACCTGTACACATAGTACTTTCATGAGAGAAGACTGAATAGAACCTTCTCCTTTGTTCTTGATGATAGTTTTTCACAGACAAAACACAGGAAATAATATTGACTTAGCAACATATATATATATATATAGGGCATTGTGACTGCAAGAAAGGAAAGAAGAAGAACTGTAAGCAGTAAGGTCAGAAAAAAATGCAGAAAAGAATTATATTATTGACAGCATCAAATTGAGATACAAAAGGTAGGTTTGTTACATAAACACCTAAACATGACCTAAAGAGATGAGAGCTTATGTGGAAAAACAGCATGCTCCAAACTTTCCCAAATCCCTAGATATATCCGTTCCATTTTCAATCTTTGATACTTGGGTGCCAAGAACTAATGTTCTAAGTTTATCCAGTTGAAAGAGCTTATCCAGCTGTGCTAACCCAGTTCCTGTCCCTGAGGAGGTGGATGCTAATTGCATTCAGTTTAGAAGATCCTCAGTCAGCCAGAAAACTGTCTGGGTGACCTTAGATTGGCTTCTCTCTCAAGCTAAGTTATATCCCTAAGGGTAACGAGGATTATTTGAAGCTCCTAAAACAAAGACAACACATAAGCACATCTGTACTATTAGTGGCAGGCAGAAAGCAAGTGCACTCCTTACCTTATTCTGAACACCTAGATTAAGGGCAGCCTGAGAGTCCTGGATAGGTGAATCTAAGATGTCACTGATGCAGTGTTCTGCTTCATCAGATCTCCTGTATGAAAAGGAGGACATGCCAGTTAGCATAATTAAAAACAAATAACAGCTGCAGAACTGTCACCTTTCCCAGATGCTGACACCCTTTTTCATAAGCCTAGGAACTGGCCTGATTGCAGTTCAGATAAGGCCTAGACTGTATTTTTATAAAATCCATTTGGAGAAATATACATAATTCTTTTTAAGGAAAGATTATAGCTGTTAATGGGCAGGAAGAGAAGGTTTTAAATGATATCTAGGCAAAGCATAGCACTAAAAGAAAGAAACCCTAGGTAAATTCCCCTAGTCATCACAGGCATACATTTATTAATACGCCTCACACAAGCATACAACACTGAATATGGTTTCAGAGACAGAAGCCATCTCGCAATTAAACCTCAGTCAGTGAGTAGTCAAATAGAAACATGTTTAAAAACCAAGAACAGAGCTTGTACAGCTATACATGCAATCACAAATCATCCTTGCCAATCCATTGTTGCATCCCCGCTTGCATTCTGGTTTATTTATTATTTATTAGATACAAATCACCTTTCATTCAGGAGTTTAAGCAGTGTATATATGCTACCTCTTCCCATTTCCTCTACACAGCAGCAACCCAGTGAAATCAGTTAGGCTGAGAGAGAATGACTGGCCCCCAAGCCACCCAGGAAGCTTCTATGGCTGAGGATGGACTTGGACTTAAGCCTCCCTAATGCCAGTGCACCCCTTAAGCACTATCTCTCCCTCCCATTCTTGGAGTGAGGTAAAGGTGTCCCTGCAGGTTTAACCACCACTTGTGACTGACTTTAGGGGGCCATGCTCATCTCTATTTCTTAAGCCAAAAAGCCAGCGATGTCTGGAGATGTTTCCACAGTCTTGTGGCCAACAAGACATCACCCCTGACTGAGACCTTTTATATATTATCCTGTCTGCCACTTCAGTCTTCTATCACAGCTGCCTTTTCCCTTTCGTGCAAAGCAACTGTTTGGGAGACTTTAACAGTGCCACTGAATGAGAAATTGTTGAACTCACATATATCAAAAAGTTTCAGCCAATCTCAGAAGATCTCAACAAGCACGAGGGGTTTTAACATGCTACAATAATTAACTGATAAAATAATCTGTTGCACACATAACCTGTGTCTTCCCCCCCACCTCATCCCCATTTAAATCCTACATCAGTCTAGCTACTCTATGCATTTGATGAAGTGCCTGGCAACTCGTGAATGCTGATGCCTTTTAATAAAATGTGTCAAAAAAGGTGCTGCCAGACTCCTGATTTTTCACATTCCATTTCAGATGCTCAGGACTCTCCACTTGCTGCAGTGACAAATTACTTCTCCACCTCTTCTCCACACAAGTATTTGCATGGATGGGATGTTCAAGAAAGTATAATTAGAAAGAGAAATCCTGAAGAATCATATTGGGAACATTCATAAATAACAAAGGAGAATGCTATGAATAAAAAATAGCATCCTCCTGGAATGATTCCCCCAAAGTTGCGTGACGTGGCAGTCCTGCAAATAACAGTTTGACCTGATTTAACTTTTTATCACAAAAAATCCTCCTCTGATATAGAAAGGCTTCCTATTCGGTATGCGTAAAATATGTGTTTCTATGCGTACAAAACCACAATGTAACAGTATAGAAGTTCTTACAATACATGACAAAACACCTGACAGTAAAACAAAAGACCATCTACTCCAACGTTCTGTATCCCAGCAGCTGACACGTACATCCACAAAGTTCAGAATTAGGACATAATAGCAATAGCCTTTGATTTATGTGTTAATTTATCTTGCGGTCCTTAGCAACAGCTCCCTATGTTTGGTCTCCAACAGCTGGTATTTTAAGATAGGCTGTGTTTGATTCTAGAGTAATTTACTAGCTTAGTAGCCAATGAAAGTCCTGTCCTCCATGAAGTGTCTTCTTTTACATCCATCTTACATCTTTCCTATTTGTTTCTGTATAATCATTTATTTCCTTGAAAGAGTCCTGAATCTCCTTGCACAAGGAAAAAGGGAGGGAGAAAAATACATCTCTGCCATGTTTTCCATCAATGCTCAACATTATTTTATATGCTTCTGTTGGATCTTTTCTTATCTGCCCTCATTTGGGCCCTTGAGGTCCAAGTGCTTTAATGTATGTTTTTGAAGTCAGGTAACAACATTTCCACGCAGGTTTTTTTTCTCTTAAAGCCTACCTTTTGGCAGTACTTTGCAGACATCTATCTTAACAGGACACAGCAGCTGAATTACTTACAAATGACAGCTCCCCCCTATCCTAAAAGGCACAAGATAGCAACCAGCAACCTACTTCTCCACTCCAAAGTGGCAGGCATTATCTGTAGCTAGTGAAATATGCTTGGATGTTAAGGATCATTTATCAAAGCAATAAAAAGACTCATTCAGTACTATAATAAGAATTACTTCTGAGTATGAGCCATTTGCATAGAGAATGCCAGGATACATATTTCGCTGCTCCAGATGCATTTCAGTCTGGATTACCTCTAGCTGCAGTCTGCTATACACTCTGTCTAGGATTCAGTGAGTAAGCTGTAGTTTAGTTATACAGAGAGCTTACCTGCATTAATAGCAGTATTACGTAAAGAGTATTATTGTGCAGTATTATGTAAATTTTCTATTAGCAGTATTATGTAAATTCTCTATTATTAGCAGTATTATGTAAATTCTCAGATTCTGCTATGTTCTTCGGCCTGACTATAAACCTAAATAAGACTGAAATACTTGACCAGGCTGTGCCAAATACCAATCCCATAGAACCAAAAATCACTGTTGATGATACCCAGTTGACAATGCAAACAGCTTCAAATACTTGGGAAGCATCTTCTTGAGCGGTGGCTCTTTGGACAAAGAAACTGACTCCAGGATCAGCAAGGCCAGCAGCTGCATACTAGAGTGCTCAATTACACAATGTCTGTACCTTCACAAAGTCTACAGAGTTGTGATTATCCCTTCTCTCCTATATGGAAGTGAATTCTTTATCAATGACATATCAAACAACTGGAGAAGTTTCACATGGGTGCTCTCAGCTTCATCCCTGATATTTGATGGCAAGACCTTGTCTCCAACCTGGAGGTCCTGGGTCACACAAAGTCCACCAGCATTGAGTCCCTTATTATCAGAGCCAAGATGCAGTGGATGGGACATGTCATCCAAATGGATGACCACTGTATAACTTGCCAATTGTTCTATGATGTACTGGAGGCTGGAAAGAGATCTTGAGGTAATTCACACAAACCCTTACAATGATGCTCTGAAGAAAACTAACACCACTGTAACATTCAGCTAAAGGAACCAGAAGCTGTGGTTGCTGACACAACCTGCTAAGTCAGCTCTGTGCTATGAAGCCTCCTTTTGTCAGCTTTGAAGAAAGGTGCTGACAAAAACTGATAGAAATCTGTGAACTGCATCACATAACAGCATCCATAGTTACTGCAACAATGGACTTTCAGTGCCCCCATTGTGTTAGACGCTGCATTCCAGACTGGGACTGCAGAGCCATCTCTGTATCTGTCATGGCCACATTGGAGCCTGGTTTGGAGGAGGAGGAGTTGGAACTGGGACCATCCAACGGAGATAGCACATCTCCTTTGGCATGTTTGGAGAGACCAGGGGTTGAGGACAATGCTGCCTGTCTGCCCTCACAGACACAGGGAAGGATTGGCTGCTGACAGGCAGTGGTGCTGATAGGCAGCCGATCCCCTCTGATGAGGAATAGCTGCCTCCCCCATTCGATCCAAGGACACAGAGTATAGGTAAGTTCAGAGAAGGGCTGCAAGGCTACTTGGGAGAATGTCACCCCACCCCTCCTCACAAGGAACACCTGGAGTGGATTGACTTAAGGAGAAGCCATGGGGAATTAGTCTCTGCCAGGAACATTTTTTTGTTTTGGCTTATACTCCCCCGGCTTTGACTCGTGCCTTTTGCCTTGCCTACTAGCCTTGAGGATTGCCTTCCGCCTTTTGCTTTGCCTAGCCTTGAGGACTATCTTCTGCCTTTTGTCTTGTATCTTTCCCTTGCTTTGAGGACTGCTTTTTGCCTTGTATCTTGTCTTTGCCCTGAAGACTGCCTTTTGTCTTGTGCCTTGATGTGCTTTGTGGACTCGCTTAGCCGGGTGGACTGGACTTGGAACCCTGGAACTTGCCCTGTGAGCGTGCTCCTACTCTGTGGTCTTTCTTTGTTACATACGGCCTGTTATTTGGGGGACTGACGTAGCTGCCTTCAGGGTAGCACGGGGTGGAGCCTTACCAGTCGTTGGAGGACTGTTTGTTGGAACATTTACTTAAAGCAATAAAGGACTTTCTAGAGGTCTGCCTTGCCTTGACCACCTGGGTCTTAACAGTATCCGCAGATGAACTGTACAACAGTATGTCTTCTTTAAATCTGAAGGACTACCTATATGTAAAGAGGAAGCAGCTCTGCCTTCACATCAGTTTCTCACAGATAATCATGTAAAAGGGCAAGGCAGACTTTGCACAGCAAGGAGCCATTACTGCTTCCAATAAACCCAGGATTTCCTAGAAGAGTGTGCTTCTAGAACAAATGTGCACTAGGGGGAAAAATTACCTCATCATGGCTCATTCACATAGGTAAACCATTTGTGTCTAATGCAAATTAAAGTGTTCAATGTAAGCTTTGTAATGTGGATTTAAAGCAGCTAGAAAATCAAATAAGAACAGCTGGGTTACCCGAAGTTGCCTATTGCAAATCTAATATTGAGACATCTCAACAATTACCAGAACAATCTACTTCAAACTAAAAATGTTAATTTCCTGGGGACAAGAAATAATGGGAACTGAACCCAGAAATATCGATTGATGAAAAGGAAAGGATAGGATCAACAGCCAGAGGCCAACAATAAAACTCTTGTTGAGTGGCCACTAAAATATATTAGCTTTTAAAACCCTCCAACAGTGGGATATTTGATTGGTACCACAGAATAATGGCTATCTGGCAAGTTTCAATAGTAATAAAAAAGAGAACA